TTAGCAATTACTAATCCTAAATTAACAAACTTATCTGTATAATAATTCTCTTTTATGTAAATATAATATGAGTTGTCAAAAAATTAAAATGATGCAATGCTTGTATACAATTGTCTCATTTATTTCTTATCTACCAAGGCATCACATATGATTTACCTATAAGGGAGCACCATAAGCTTAGAATCCGTCTCCAACTACAATCTATTCTAAGGATGTATTGTAGCATGTTCCATGGCCAGAATTGTTCTCATAAACTCAGTAAAAAGCATATTTTCTTGACCAAGATTGCAAGCAAAACTACCTAAGGGATCTCCATTGCGGTCTCTAAAAAATCCCCCACAAGTTACCATAGGAGGAGTGTCACACGAAGCACCATATGTATTCACTTTGATCAAGTCCAAAGATGGAGGACACCATAAAACTTCATTGTATACTTGAGTTTTAGAAGGATGGGCTTTGACCAAAAAGATTTTGTGAAAAATGAAATCTTGAATTGAAGCATTAACATAATTGGAAATATGATTGCCCTAAAATACAATGGAAGTAGAAGAGGATCTCAAATGAATATAAGTATTCTAAAATTGAGCTTGATTCCTAACATTCCATGTGCAATAAATGTTGTTGAGGACTATAGAGGTTATGATAAATTTGCACTGCAAGAAGTAAGCGCAATCAAGAACCTTCCAATATGAAGCACGAACACCTCTAAGGCATATGGTGACGTCCAACATGTTGTTAGCCTGAGAATTCTAGCTAGAGAAAAGTCAAAGAAGAATACTGATAACCATGTTAAAAAATGCTAAGTATTAAGAAGTCTCAGTTGAAAAAGCTTCAACTTATCAACCACGTTGGCCAAAAGTGTTCGACGAAGCGTGGTGAACATAATTGGGAAGAATCTCAAGAATAGATACACAATATTAGGACCACTCACTCTTCAAAATATGCCCAAAATCTTGAAAAAGGTTTTCGACAGTATGGTTGGATACGACAAGGTCACAAGTTATTTAGGACTTAGTATATTTCTAAGTCTAAGAGGCAGTTGAGCGAAGATGTGTTTCGACAAGTGCTATAGAACTGAATCAGATATGCTTGAAGGCAGTTGAGAAGTTCGAAGTAGTTATCAACACAATTATCAACATGATAATTGGTTTCTCAGCAATTATATCCTTGAAGACGCGTGGAAGAAAGTTAGAGCATGAAGGCCTAAGTAGTGGGATACATGTCAAATCTTTAGGATTTAACTGTTGTCGACAATTATCTTTGTAATAGTATATAATGAAGAATTATGCATTGAGTCGGGGTCACAAATCCTCATTGATTCTCTATAGAACTTGAGTACGTAAGTATTATACCCCAAAATTTTCCCTTATGCTCCTAACCTTAATTTGCATGTGTTTTGCATTCATATGCATTATCCATTAGGACATAAACTCGCAATCACTTATCTTCATAAGCTCATAAGGCATGGTATCATTAAGATTAAGATTTCCCTTTTCTTTGAAGCTCTTACCTCATTCAAATATGATTAAAGTTATGACAAGGGTTTGAATTCATATCATCATGAACATCTTCTTTGTCAAGGTTCATCAAGACACAATGTCATCTTCATCAAGATCTCTTAAAGACCAAGCATCAAGTGCTTAGGGTTTCATTGATTCATTTGAGGTAGATTTGAGTTAGTATTTTGGTCCTTCTCAACATCTCAAGTTGCTTCTTCATCAATGGGAATTCAAGACAAGAGAATTATGGTTTCTCATCATTGTTTGAGCTTGATAAAGAATCCTTTAACTGAGGTTCCTTGGACTAGGGTTATCTTGGTTATACTTCTTTATTTTTTCATATTCATTCTCAAGGATTCCTCAAAGAAATGTTATTATGTTAAGGTCATCTATTGAGGAAAAAGCTTTGTCAAGTCAAGATACCTTAGTGGATTGAATTACAAATGTAAGTCATGGTACAAGAGGTGTTGTTGTGGATACATATTGTGATCAAGTAATTATCATGGCTTGTTGCTTGTCATGCAAGTTGATTTGGATTTGAATTGAGAATTAAAGTGGGATTCATTTATTCGAGTGATCATTTTTTTGAGTTTAAGTTAACCAAATGGCATCAAGATCTTAGGCACTTGTTTGTCAAGAATCCATTCAAGCTTGCTAAGTTTGGAAAGTTCATATGTGTGGATTTGTTTGGAATTTAAGGCATGCCATATTTTCAAATTCAAGGTTTCAAGTCCATTTATTCTAAGTTCATTCACCATTCGAAGTTTACAAAGACAACATCCATTCTTTCAAGCTTCAAAAGTCCATTACAACCAATATCCACCATGCTTAAACACATTACAAAAACAAATGCAAATCAATTCACACACGAGCTTTAAAATAATGTCCATTTACATTTATAACAACTCCATTTTTGAGCCAAAAACAATGCCATTATGCTTTCTATTCTGGACTGGGCTTGCCCTTGGTCCAACTCTCAGTGAGGCCCAATCCAAGTGTGCCAACCTGCACCACTGATCGATACTACCCTCGAACACGGTAGACAATTACCACTCTTTCCCCGCAAGGAGACAACCTCACCACGCAGGGACAACGCCCAAATAGATTGAGGATGCTCACCCCCGACCATGAAGGCTTCTGGGACACCTCAAATAGCACGTCGACCAAGACTAGTCCCCTATCAACCTCGCGTCTGGCTGGGATCACCCATGACGAGCAGGCGCTCCCCCCGAGCATCCTCCTCGTAGGACTGACTACCAACGTCTCTGGATATTACAGAGTCTTCGTGGTTCCGGAAATATCGCATCCATATCCTCCTGACCTTGCGGAGGGCGTCATCTAGGTATGGGACCACGTGCGGGTCCCCACTTCTCACGTAGAACCTGGCAGTCTCTATGTTGGGCCTGCTTGACCAGCCCAATGAAGAGACCTTGACCCAGCGTTAGGGGCTACAAATACCCCCTTTTTCGAGAGGGTCAGGTATTCAACACTTTCTAAACTCTCATATTTGCTTGCTCATTCCCAAACTCATTTTGGCATCGGAGTGTCTTGCAGATACCCCCTCCCCCACTTCACTCTCAACTTCTGCTCGAGCTAGCTGTGACGGTCCATTCTGGTCAGGTACGATCAGTGGCGCCGTCTATGGGAATCTTGCTTCCCCATCTTCCATTTACTCAAGACTAAATCTAAATCACTCTTCCGACTGTCATGGATGATCAAACAGCAGAAAACAACTTGAACTTCCGCATCGTCAACGCCAACACCAATGTCGCCGACAATGCTGGTACTGCTGGCCACAACACGGCCCCCACCGTTAATATACCCGGGTCTTCAGAATATAGAGATAGAGCAACTGCTTCGTCATCATCATTATCTCGCCGACCTAAAGACAATCGGCCACCTCCTCAGAACTATCAGACCGCTCAGTTCCATGAGGTCCTCGTTCCCGCCGGAGCAGACGCCACGACCAGGGCACTGTTCACGACAATAAATCATATCAATTACCTGATCTTCTCTCAAGGAGAGAGACTGAGGGCGCTCGAAGATGCTCGGAGAGCCCCCAGAAGACACAGGAGGCCCCAGTCTCCTCCTTCTCGCCAAGTAGAGGAACATCCCCAATCTCCCCCGCGGAGACATAGGCGAGACGTCTCTCGAAGTCCTTCTTCCCGACCAATCAGGCGACGCCCCGCATTGGAGAGGGACCGACCCATTGACATGGGGAGATGCGATCACGTTCCCTTGCGTCAAGAACAAAGACCCCCTGGAGACAACAAGGGAAATAACGAACGACCATACCGCCCAAGGAACGCTCCGCGCGACCAGTGCCGCCACAACCATCACAACAGATCTCCCTCTCGCTCGCCAGATAGGAGTGACGAAGACGACCCCCGCGGTCCCTTGTTACAATCCATCATGGAGGCACCCATCCCCCCGGGCATGGAGAAGTCTCTCCATCTTAAAGAGTACGGCGGTATTGTCGACCTGGTCGACCATATAGACGTATTCGAGGTAATGTTGCATTACCATAATGTCTGGGGACCAATCAAATGTTGATTGTTCCCCACGACTTTGAGGAAAGCTGCGATGGACTGGTATAAGAGTCTCGCCTTGGGGTTAATTACCTCCTGGCGAAATTTAAAGAACCAATTCCTCAGTTCGTTCACTGCTTCACGACGGCACCCAAAGATCGAAGCAGCCCTCGAGGCTATCGTCCAGAGACACGATGAGACCCTAAGGGAATTTATTGATCGGTTTAACCGGGAGGCCATCCAGGTCCCCTGCACCGATCACATGAAGAGATACCTGCTCGAGAGGGGACTCCTCCCGGGCACGAAATTCAGAAAGGCCGTTCGCATCGAACCGCCTCGGACATTCGATGCCCTCCTCGAGAAATCCAGAGCATACATGGACTACAAGGAGAGGGAAGCGGCCAATAGAGCCCGGGACCCCAGAAATCGTGGATCAACTAGTAATCTGTGACAAGACTCCGACCCTCCTCGACGAACTGGCGAGAAGATAAGGGATGACAAACCCCGAGACCCTCGTGAGCAAAGAGGACCCTCGGGGAGGTTTACTGAGTACACTCCGCTAACAGCTTCCCGCGAGCGCATTTTGGCAGAGTGTGCAAACACAAATATTTTACTAAAAAAATCTTAGTTCTTTTCAATCATTTATGGCAGCTTTATAGCATTTATTTTTTTTTCTCTTCTTCCTCAATATCATCACCTTGTACCAATAGTTTGGAGAGTCAATTTTACATTTATGGTGCGCCTGCTTTTTTGAGGTCCATCTTGGATGATGATATTCTTGATATATATACCTTAGGGATGTCGATTTGTAATTTTTTTCTTTTAAGGCTTAAGCCCTCTCTAGTATAAAAAAAAAAACAATGAAATATGATTCTATTTCATCTCATAGAGCTAAGCTCTATCCAATTCCAATTAACTAAATAAAGCCAAACATTTCCGAATATGATCTAATTGAGCACGAAAGCACTCATAAATGATTGAAGATCAACTCCAACTGGCATCGGAATTGGATGAAATGGGCGTAACATCATCAGCACGTCTGCTCCTCGAGTGTAGCATTCTGCATTCGCGTCTTCTTTCTCTGTTCACTTCCCTGCTTGCTTCCATGGAATCTTCCTTTCTTTGCAACATGTAAGTTCTTCCTGTCACATTGCTTTTAATTTAGGATAATTAATTTGTTATTTATAAACTTGTTTAATAGTGTTACTGTGAACTGCATCATGTTGTAATTCCATTTTTCATTGTTAGATTATCATCACTTTGTAAATGTGGGACGTTATATGTAACCTGCTCAATGATTTTTGCTTTCAAATTTCAACTCAATCATTAATATTTACTCGATTTGAGGAAGAAATGTAATGCTCATGTCATTTTTTCGCTAAGATGTTGTCAATGATAAACTAGTATACTTTAGGGGTAGATGTATCATACATCTTCAGGAATAATATAGGAGATTGTTTGTTAGTCTTTGCAGAAAATTTATCGACCGGTTCCTTGATCTATGCTGAATTCTCTACTGTTTTGAAAGCTAATTCGTGGTTGGTGCAAGCTTTGGATAGACACTGATTGTATCACGGTGGTCAAAGCTTTCTCCAACCTTAGCTTGATTCCTCAAAGGTCAAGAAACAGGTGGCTTGCGAGCATTGATCTAGCTAACAACACTAACTTATTCATCACTCATATGTACTGGGAAGGAAATACTTGCGCTGACTTTTTTTGCAAATATAGGCTCCAATGCAAGTTTCAATTTTTTTTGACTCAATCCCTATTGTGATTACAATTGATTTTGTAAATAATAGGTCAGACATATCTTTACTGGAAACAGCCTCTCTATTATAAAAAACAGGGTAAGGCTGCGTACATCCGACACCCCAGAGCTCATAAAATGAGAGCCTCGTGCACTGAATTATCCCTTTTTATGTTAGACATATCTTTCTTTAGGTTTTCCTCTTTTTGATGGGTTAAGCTTGTTCCCTTTTTGTATCATCGTTTGTAACACATTTTCTATTTTCAATATATCAGCCTTTATTCAAAAACAAACTATCATACATCTTCATTCATATGCTGAAAATGAAGCGCAAAACATAATAAATTAAGAATAAGGTAGCCCGGCCTAATGTGGAAAAAACTAGGTGTCCCACAGCAAACTCTAAAAGGCCGTGGGGAGGATACCTTTGAGGCGTCTACTAAGGGTCAAAGACAAGATCCTAGTTACGGTGGATTAGAAAAAGAAAGTATTACTCCGGCATTTCAGAAGGACGTGGATTCTATTTGTAAGGAAAGTGAAATGCTTTCGTCTCTGGATTCTTGGTCTGTTGTTTCATTGATTGTGTGCCCAAATGATTGTTCATCATCACTTGATGATTCATCGTGATCATGGTTGATTTGAAAGGAACTTTGTGCCCTTCTCAGTGTTTCTAACTCTGCTGAAACCTCTTTCATTGTTGGTCTTTTCTTATGATTAAGTCTCAAGCATCTGATTGCGAGATTCGAAATAGTAAGAATGGTGTCTTTCCCTGCTTCCTTTTGCACTCTGGAATCTACAATTTGAGAAAGTTGGTTCTCTTTCGTTACAGAAATGAATTGTGCAATCATGTTTTGACCCTCATCTTCATCATAGAATGAATTGGGCTTTCTTCCGGTTATAATCTCTACAAGAACAACACCGAAACTATATACATCACTCTTATCTGTAAATTGACTGGACTGAAAATATTCAGGGTCTATATACCCAAAAGTTCCACCTACAAATGTGGTTAGGTGAGTCTTATCCAATGGTATTGATCTTGATGTCCCGAAATCAGACACTTTGGCACTATAGTTACTGTCTAAGAGTATGTTGGTAGGTTTGATGTCTCTATGGAAGATTGGAATAGAAGCTGAAAAATGCATATATGACACTGCTCCAGCAACTTCACAAGCAATTCTAAGTCGACTTTCCCATGAAAGGGATGAATCACGGTCTTTCCTATGTATATGTTGAGAAAGAGTTCCGTTCGGGATAAATTCGTAAACAAGTATTGGGGTTTCTGTCTCAAGACAACAACCTAAGAGTTTGACAATGTTCCTGTGGTTGATGTTAGATAAGATGACTACTTCATTGACAAAAGTTTCTATCTGGTTCCTGTCAAGCTGTTTCGACTTTTTAACTGCTACTATCGTTCCATCGGGTAACATTCCTTTGTACACTGTGCCATAGCCTCCCTGGCCCAGAAACCGACTTCGGTTATAGTTATCCGTTGCTCTTTGCAGCTCCTCTGCATTAAAAAGCTTTGCCATTTCTCCGTTTCCATAGGATGATAACTTCTCTTGTAACAAGTAGCCACCATTTTGACAGAACAGCCTTTCCTTTCGGATTCTTTCTCTCTTTATCGTTATGCATTGATATAATCTGTAACCCAAAAGAAACAAACACAGAAAGCCTGTACCAATTCCAATACCTGCAAATACAGTTATTTTTCAAATTCAGTTGGGAGCTGTGACTAGCAACAAACATCCTTATGTGATTTCATGCATCCTTAAGAACTAGCTATTCTAAAATGTAATTTCTTTTTTTTATTAAAAACTATATTATTTTAAAGTTTGTTCTTGAAGAGAGTTTAGACAAGTATACCTGAGGCAGCAACCAATTTTGCAGGGATTTTTTGACGATGAGATTCATCACAGAAAACACCCTTGGAGCTTCCATCAGCGTGCAGTTCCTCAAAACATTTGCAATAGAATCTCTCTGGGTTCTCTTTGCAGCTCATACTTCTCAGAGGAACTACTATAGGCGTCGAAGCAAAGAGGATGACAGTGCTGTTTGCACTTTGTAGCACTGGAAACTCATTGGCCTCTCGCATGCTAGGTTCATCAACACCATAAGCTTCTCCTATGGATTTAACTGTGTCACCATAGTTCACCATGTGAACTAGCAAAGAGGTAACCCCTTTTGCTGTCAGGTTTTTCGTTGGACAAGCACATAGTACCGGAACTGTAAGCTCAGCACCAATTGCAATGTTAACAGGAGCATAGTAATTCTGACCCATCAATGCCTGGCAGGTTGTAAGGCCTTGATAAGTTTCTTTTACCAACTCATAATAGGTGTCATTCTGCTTGACAGAGTAAGATGTGCTATGCTGGTAGATATTTCCAGCACATGAACAGAAAACCGGGACAATGATTGATTTATTCGAAGGAATCTTCTCATTAATCGATATCTTGTTGATCGAGGCTATGGTAGATGCTTCAGAGCCAAGAAGGTTGGAAATTCTTGCAGGGTTGTTGTGGGGAGGTTTTGACTTGAAAACTAAAAAGGAAGTGCATGACTTTTTAAGGCCATTGCAGAGGTATCCTTTTGGTACAGAAGGGTTGTTAGTGCAGTCAAAGACAGTGCTATTGAGATATTCTTGTTGGCAGGTTAGTAACTGAGGAAACATATTTAGGAACATAACAGTGAGATGAAGAATGTAGAAATACTGAAGCTCCATGATTAAGTCTCTTGAGAGTTGAGAATACAACAAATGAGTTACACTTCAATTGTTTTCAGTGTTTTAAGAGCTAGTTTGGTTGTTTTCACGCGGCATCGGTTTTGTTTTATTCCATGACTTGGTATGAGGAATATTCAGCAAAAGTGGTTGGTTGAAGTTGATTTATGATTTCCAAATATGAATGACCAGGACAGTTAATAATGTTGAAATCATAAAGAGTTTTAAAAGGAGAGTTTTGTTACTTACTGATAAGTGTGACTTCAATCTCTAAGAGGCCCAATCATAAATTAAGACAAATTTAAATGTCTTCCTGAGTCATGATTATTTCCTGCCATGGATTATGCAGGGGCAAAGTGGGCAAATAATAAGGCATGCTACTTACCACCGTGATAGTCCAAAGAACAATGTTACTAATAAACATTCCCTTAATCTGGCCAAGTTTGAAAAAAAGGTAATATTAATACTTTGACTGCTTCTACATCCAAGATGGCATATTAAAAGTTGTTAGTTTGTATTGTAGCTTTTAAGCTTATCTAGAAATTCTTTGCACTTATCTAGAAACTCAAACACCTTAGTATTTTATCCTAGATTCAATCTTTGACTCTCTTATATGGAAATAACCTGATTCCAAGAGGATCTACATCATGTGTCCAACTTTTTCTCCCATATAGATTAGTTGTTTTCAAATATATATTTGATATGTGTCTATGATGGAGTTGGACCGACATGATTTCGACATTTATGATTACGTGATAATTCTTTTTTAAACTGTTACCGGTGTTCATATATTAGTGTTAGTGTTGTGTCTGTGTGTATATTTATGTCAGTGCTTCGAATGATTATAGAATAAATTAAGTGAAAAAAGGTTTGTTTTTTCTTTTCATTTTGATTTCTTCTATTTCACTTCATTTACTATATTGTCACCCTCTTCTTAAATCTGCAATTTTAATCCTCTAATCTTTAAAGTTTGTTAATTTTAATACACTAATCAAAAAAAAAAAAATTTGAAAAGCAAAAATAAACATGTTTTAAAACCAGCAGTAGTGGCATAAATCATGCCAAACAAAACCAGTACACACCAAAAGGAATAACCACCAATTCTCACCAAAACCACACCAAGGGTTGGCTTATTCCTAAAACAATTCAACAGTCCTATCTAATCTGCATAAGAGAACGTTTACACCAGTACACATTAGCAGGAAAAAGGGAAATTATCCAGACTGCATCTAGAAACCAAAACAGCGCCATCCCACTAATCAAATTGATTAGTCCAATATTTACAAAATGCTAACGTGACAGTAGACATGAAATTAACATGGTTACAACATTATGCAAATATCAAGTGTAAGTTACATGTAACTACTACACTTTTTTCCCTATCTCGTAACCCCGTCAACTTTATGAGTCAACTTTTACAAATATTTTTGAGTTTTTAATTATTATGTAAATTCTTTTACACCAACAATACATTATAACTATTAAAATATAATACTTTAAAAAAAGTTAAAAGTAAAGTCAAAATTTTTAAATAAATCAACCGTTATGATTTAGTGTAAAATTTCTTTATAGCGTCAATATATTTCAATATATTACATTAACATCTCCATGAAATATTAATATTGTAAACCTTTAAAAATTAGAGATTAAAATTGAAAATTTAGAAAAAAAGAGAAGCATTGAAATTGTAAATGAGACGTTAAAGAGTGATATCAAATAATAATATATATCACATGAATATGAGTTTATAAATGAAGATAATTTTTATTTTACAATCTCATTTTATAAACATAAATTAGAGTCATCTACACTTTCTTAATATAGTAAGAATCTCTGCCTATCAGATTTCTATTATCGAACTATTTAATCATTCAATTATATAATAAAAAATTTATAAAACTCCAATTATCTATAATTATTTTTCCATTTAGATATTTAAGTGAATCATTATATATAATGATTAAAACATTTTAAACAATTTAAATTCAACTCATTTAATCTCAACAATCTTAATTCTCCTCATGCCAATGGATTTGAATTTAAATTGTGTTTGAGTTGAGCCAAGTCATTGTAACTTCTAATTCATACGAATATTGTTCTGGACTGAGTCCACCTTGACCCAAAGTGCAAATAAAGACCCAGATCCAAACAGCTCATTGGGGAATGCTCACAATCGGACCATCACCGAACGTGTCAACCGTGAAGCCATCCAGGTCCCCTGCGTAGACCACATGAAAAAATACTTGCTAGAGAGGGGACTCCTCCCCGGCACAGAGTTCAGAAAAGTAGTGGGCATCGAACCGCCCCAAATGTTCGATGCTCTCCTCGAGAAGGCCAGGGCCTACATGGACTACGAGGAAAGGGAAGCGACCAACAGAGCCAGTGACCCCAGAACTCGCGGATCCAGCAGAAACCCGCGCCAAGAAGCCGTTCCTCCCCGACGAACCGGGGAGAAAAGAAAAGACGATAAACCCCGAGAAGTCCAAGAACAGAGAGGGCCCTCGGGGCGTTTCACAAAATACACTCCGTTCACGGCTTCCCGCGAGCGCATCTTGGAGGAGTGTGCTAGTACAGATTTCAAGGATGGTGGCGTCAAGCGCCCCCGACCAGCTCCTACCAAGCCTGGGGTAGACAGGAGCAAATACTGTCAGTACCATAGGAGCCATGGTCATCTGACGGAGGACTGCGTCCACCTCAAGGACGCCATTGAGACCCTCCTAAAGGGGGGAGGCTCGCCCAATACCGACGAAACGATGCTCCTCGTCGCGACGCCCGTGAGACAAGGGAAGCGGATGAAGATGCCCGACCATCCGACGAGTCGGTCCCCATCCAGACCGCCTTCTCCGTCACCAGACTCAAGGACTTTTATGTCCCCGAACACTTGCAAGAGCCGCTGTCGATGCACAGCAGATGGGAGAACTTTCCCTCCGCCATGGTCATCAATGGTGGGGGGTTCAACGACCTGACCATAAATTCAGCCAAGAGGAAGCTGGATGAATTGGTCGGCGCTACACCTCCTCAGACGGTGACCTTTGAAAGGGTGAAAGTTAGATCGGAGCCTATCACCTTTTACCTCGAAGAACTCCCCGGAGGAGCCCCCAACGCGGTCATTCCGCTACTAATAAGAGCGAGAATGGCTAACTTTGACGTACACCGTGTCCTCGTCGACGAAGGAAGTTCCGTCGACGTAATATGCAGTCAACTATTCTGGACCCTGCAGCTCGACGACTCGCACCTCTCACCTTATGTGGGGTCAGACCTACAGGGCTTCAACGGCTCGACCTCCAAACCTTGGGGATACGTCGAGCTCATGGTTACCTTTGGAAAGGACACGGCGACCAGGCAGGTCAAGGTACGCTTCCTCGCCATCGACTGCCCGTCCCTTTACAACTGCATTTTGGGAAGGCCAACATTGGCAGAACTGACCGTGGTATCCTCTACCGTCCACTTGAAGATGAAGTTTTACACCAAGAGGGCACGGGTCGCCACCATCCAAGGTGACCTAGCAGCTGCCTGAAGATGTTTCAACGCAGCATCTAAGGGACGCGACACGGTCAACACCGGGACAAGACCCGCCAAGAGACCAACAACCACACGACCAGAGCCCGAGGAGACAGAGTTCGTCAAGGCAGAAGAGCAGAGATTCCCCCCAAAGGTCGACTCCATAGCCCTGGACCCGCTTCGACCAGGATGAGCCTCCCAGCGGCGAGCAAGTCCCCCTTCGACCAATTCCGGACGGGGACTTCGAGCTCGTCCCCCTCGGCGAGGACGTGAGCAAAGGAGTGAAGATCGGTACCGGCCTCCCTGACCTGGCGAGGAAACAGATCAAAGCCTGCTTACGCGAGAATGTTGACCTATTCGCGTGGAGCGTTGCAGAAATGCCCGGACTCGACCCCGAGGTCGCCTGTCGCCGCCTCGCCATAGATCCAGCTGTTAGGGCAGTAGTACAACATAGGCGTAGGCAGTCCCCGGAGAAAACCGAGGCTGCTGAAAAAGCTGTAAAAGACCTCTTAGAGGCAAATTTTATTTCTGAGGCCCAATATTCAACCTGGCTGTCAAATGTTGTACTAGTCAAAAAGAATAATGGAAAATGGCGAATGTGTGTTGATTATACTGATCTCAATCGGGCATGCCCGAAAGATGCATTTCCTCTACCGAACATAGACATGCTGGTTGACAACTCGGCCGGTTATAAAATACTGTCGTTCATGGATGCCTATTCAGGCTATAACCAAATCCCAATGGTCGTGAGTGACAAGCATTGCACTACTTTCATGACCAGCTCGGGCAACTATTACTACAACGTAATGCTCTTTGGTCTAAAAAACGCAGGGGCAACATACCAACGTATGATGAACAAAGTGTTCCACAACCAAATCGGGGACATGCTCGAGGTGTATATGGATGACATGATCGTCAAATCCTGAGCAGATACCGACCATGCAGCTCACCTCAAAGAAGTCTTTGCTCAAGCAAGACAATGTAAGATGAGATTTAACCCCGAGAAGTGCATATTCAGGGTCAAGGCAGGGAAATTCCTCGGTTTTTACTTGACAGAACGAGGAATCGAAGCTAACCCCGACAAGTGTCGAGCCTTCTACGACCTCCCGACACCGACGTCGAAAAAATCCATATAAGTCATGAACGGCATGGTCACCTCACTATCCCGCTTCGTCGCGAGATCCGCTCAACACGCCATCCCCTTCTTCAAGCTCCTTCGTAAGAAAGCAGCCTTCGAATGGACCGAGGAGTGTGAATAGGCGTTGCGCCACCTAAAACAAAGCATATCCCAACCGGCCGTTCTATCCCGGCCCACCACCGGGGAACCATTGTTCATATACCTGGCGATCTCGGATGAAGCTGTCAGTGCGGCTCTCATTCGCCAGACGCCCGACGGACAAAAACCCGTCTACTTTACGAGCAAAGCACTATAAGGGCCTGAGGTCAGATACCAACAGATAGAGAAAGTAGCTCTAGCCCTCGTCAACGCGACGAGGAGACTA